TTTAAAAAAATTCAATTCCATGTTCTCTAATAACATTTATGGCACTTCTTACAGCCTTGACCTGCATGCATCTGGCAGTTTCTACTTTATCATGAGCTTGTCTCAGGCACTGAACAGTGTCTGAGGAAAGCCTCAAGGGGAAGAGGTGGCCATACCATTCAGTTTTAAACATTTCTGTTAATACAAACTTGTTTTTTGGGGTTTCTTTTATTTTTTATTTTTTGGTTGCTTTTATGAAAGTTCTCTTATTTAATGCTATCTTTGATTTTATTTTAGTAGGAGAAGTAAGAGAAATAAGTGAAAAGACTAAAGATCTATGTTAAAAAATACTCTTCTCTAAACCTTCTGATTGATTTTAGGAGACTGTTTCAACTCTAAAATCAGTGAAATGAATTTAAGTGCCATTAATTTCTATAGGGAAATTTTATAGGAAAACACATTTTTAAAAACAAACTTTTTGTAACCATAGGAAGGTGTTTAATTTGTATGTGTTTTAATACTTAGTATTCCAAGTGTTCTTGGTAGCAGTTAAAACAGATTTGACTTACCCGTGTGTTTTTCAATGGATCTTCTAAATGCTATGAAAAAACAAGTGCTGTTGAGTAGATGTTAAAATTTATTGTAGCCAATTAAAATTTACTGTAGCTAGTATGTATTTTATAGGGTAACTTAATTTTCTAAGAGTTTCAAACTTGCAGGAGAGTTGCAAGAATACTACCAAGAAATAGGTGTTTTCAAGACCACAGGTTAGGGCCTGGGGATACAGCTCAGTGGCGCAGCGCCTGCCTGGCAAGCTCAAGGCCCTGAGTTCAGACCTTTAAAAAAACCACAGGACTGGGGGTAGCTCAATGGCACAAGTGCCTGCCTGACAAGTGCAAGGTCATGAGTTCAGTCCCCGGTACGAAAGAGAGAGACCATAGTTAGGAGTGAGATGGTCTTAGTGAGTAGCATGTACAAGGGAAGCTGAGGGAAGGGCCATTAGACAAAATAGGGAGCTAGGAAATGCATCACTAAAAACTTCTGTTCTATGCAGAGCAAAATTCTTCCAGAGTTTTGAGTGAAACTCTGAAATCATGATTTTGTAATTGCAGTGGCTATCTGGACACGGAGACAAACCACTCCTAAGTTAAAGGCCATGAGCGCCTGTCAGGTAGACAGCTGCACATCTTCAGTTATTCATTGCAGAAGTGTTTATCAGAGGGAGTTTAACTGAACATCCCTACAGTGTTTATCTGAGAAAATCCACATGAGCTTTAAATTTTTAAAAAACTAGGGGTTAAGGATGAGGCTCTGTAGTAAAGTGTGTGCTTAGCGTGCCTTGGGCCCTGGGTTTGATCCCTAGCACCACATAAAAAAAGTCAGTCGATAATATGTGTTTTTATTTTTCTTACTGTCTTCCTTTTTTCTCTTTTTTGAGACAAGGTCTTGCTGTGTTCCCCGTGCTGTCCTTGAACTCTCAGTCTCATGAGTAATGCTGGTATGCATACCATATTGTTTAAACTTTTTTAAAAAGTGTTAACAAGGTACACAGTGTCTGTTTAGTAAAAAGCCCTCCCTTTTCTGGGCCTTGTTCTTGTTTCCCTACTCCCTTTTCCTAGTCACAGCCATTATGCCCAGCTTTTCGTCTATCCTTTGGACATAGTCCACTGTATATATATATATATATATTTTTGTCTTTTTCCTTTTTTATCGCTACCAGGGATCGAACTCACAACTGCCAGGTTGCAAGGCAGACGCTTATGCCACTGAGCTAAATCCCCAGCCCCTCCACTGTATATTTGTATGTGTCCTCCTCCTACCTTTTTTCTTTTTGTTATATATGCAGTAGCACAGTATTTAATAAATTAGTGTTTTTACTTGACAACATACCATGGAGATCATTTCTTATCAATACCATAGAATTGCCTTATTTATAATGGCTTACTGATACTCTGTCCAGTGGATGTGCAGTTTGGTCAACCAATTCCTTACTCATATCCAGGGTTTTTTTTTTTTTTATTCTTTTGATTGTATAAACAATATGGTGGGAAATATCCCTGTATATGTTTCCTTGTGTGAAGCTTTGAGTTTCAGTTTTAGGACTAGAATTGTTAGGTCAAAGGATATACAGACTTTTGAAATTTTAGATAAAATGTAATTTTATTGAAATTTTTATTTTTGAAAAAGTCATACAGCACTGAGTATATGGGGACAGAGTTTGTGGAGAGAGCCTAGAAATAGGGTCCTGTATATAGTCCAGCTGGTTGAACTAGCAATCCTTTTGTTCTAACCTTCTAAGTACTGGGATTATATACATGCACCCCACACCTAGCCTGGTTTTACAACTGTTGATAAAGAATGGGATAAAATAGTCATTACATTAACTGTGAGTGCCATGGTTTTACTGTCTTGATTGCTGTTTGATGGGAGCAGATACACTAGGCTTCAGAGAAGGTGACACTAGATGGTGGGGTTGGGCTGCACTGTCAAAGCAGTATTAATCATAACTCTGAAAGTATTCTACTGGATCAATTCTAGTTGCTTGCATCCTAACTCTGGATCTTATGCTCACTGTGGGGAAATAACTGAAACAGCCTGGTGGTATAGTCCTAGACAGTAACACTGTCTGATACTACTTTCCTGTTCCCTTATGATTTGCACATTTTTATGGGGACCTGGTACTGTACAACAAACACATCTGATATAACTGACCCTCTCTGTTCTCTGCCCTAGTATCTGTAGACATTGTAAATAGTAGGGCTTATAGTTTGTTGAGTAAAACTTGTGGTTTAAAAAAAAAAATTGGAATCCAGAATCATTTTTTTTCTTGGAATAGTACATTTTTGAGATTTCAGAACCAGACTTCTTATGGTTTGCTGGCTCTGAGTGTGCTTGGTGTAGGAATAATCACTTAGCATGCCACTAATACTTAAGTAAAAGTTTTCATGTAATATTTTTGTCTAAAATTATAAAATTTCTCCAAAACCACAAGCTTAGAGAAAAATACACTAATACCTCAACTGTTATTTAAATATAAGCTTAAAAGGCAGTTTTGGATAGAAACCTTCCACAGATTTCTCTTTTCCTCCCCCTTCTTCCTCCTTTTTCTTTTCCTTCTTCACTTTTCTTTTTTCTTCTTCTTCTTATTTATTTATTTATTTATTTATTTATTTTTGGACAAGGTCTTGCGATGCAGTTCAGGCTGGCCTTAAACTCACTTTGTAGCCCAGTCTGGCCTCAAACTTGCAACCTCCTGCCTCAGCCTTCCAAGTGCTGAGTTTACAGGCGTGAGCCACTGTACCGTTTTCTTTCTTTCATTTCTTCCTACTATTCTTACCTTTTTCTCTTTTATTTCTCATACTCAGAAGTACTTAACTAATCTTTTAAATACCACTTTTATGCTTTTGTAAACAAGAGTATCAACCAAAAGCAGTATTATTTTGTCAGTTACGGGTGTTGTACAGATGTTTTCAGAACTGACTGAAGTATAAGAAAGGGCTTTTTGCGTCACACCAAATGGTGCAAAGCTAACTAATTTGCTTCTTGAGTTTTCCCATTTCTCAGTGCTCCAAATGTGCCTTTTGCTATAAGAACCGTGGTCTCAGATCTGAATTGTGGTTTCTAATGTATTATGAGTTAACATAACCTAATAGCCTGACTTACCAGAGTGCCTTGTAAAACTAAAGTAAAAGGCCCTCAGGTATCAAGAAGCTGCTCTGTGATTGGAACTCAAGTGAGTGGCAAAATGTATAAATCACATTTAGGTGAGGGCTTTGTGAGGGACTGGCTTTAGTCTTTTGGGGCCCCCTGGGCTTGTGTTTAGCCCCCTGATGGCTTAAAACCTGACAGGAGAGATAAGACCAGTTGCCACGTGTGATATAATGACATTGATGACTAGGGAGGGGAAAGATGATGCTTTCCAAACTAGCTGGGTAGGTAGTGGAATATTTTATACCCAGATGAATCCTAAAAGCCCCTTTCAGTTCTAGATACCGGAATTTGGTATAGATATTAGCCAATAAAGAAAGCAGAGGCTGTTCAGATAGGAGCAACCAGAGTGGAAAGGAAGCCCTTTTCAGCAGTGAGAGATGGCTGAGGTGAGGCCCTTTCACCTTTTGGTAGGATGCTTACCTTGGATATTTAAGAGGGGAATAGTCAATACATAGAAGACTGTCCTTTCCCTTCTAAATTTGGAATCCTCTGAGAAACAGATTGGATAACAAGTAGATGGAAATTTTAAAACTCAGCCTTATTGGCAAGGCTGCCTAGAGAATGTGTTGTAGTCTGTGTCCAGGTGGGCTGGCTCACGTCCCCTGCTCTCCCCAGGTGACTTCACCAACACGACCTGGGGACGCGGGCTGCCCGACTCCCAGCCCCACCACACTGATTGCTGTGGCAGGACCTAGAGGAGCGCTGGCCTGCAGACTAGGCCCAGGCCTCCTGTGCCTCAGCTGTCCTGGAGAGCCCAGGTTGTCAGAGGGCTGGGGAGTGAGACGGACATGTAGCAAGACTCTCCTCAGAGGAATCTGAAGCTGTGAAATAGTGACCCTCCACTGCCACTACCCTGGTGTGGTGCTTTCTTCTGCCCTTCCCAGAAGAGTGAAGCATGAATTTACAATATTAAGTAGACTGAAGTCATTTATAGACTCTATCCTTTAAAAACTTACAAAATTTTCTTAGACTAGTCTGGCTTTTGACATTTTAGGTAACCTGCAGACAAAGACAGAGACTGGGTAATTGCCTAGCTTATTAAAGGGGTGCTATGGGTGCTTAACAGAAAGGGTTTGCCTGTATCACTGAAATACCTTTTGCCTGTTTGGTTTTTGGCAGCAAAAACAGTTAAGACTTCCTGATTTTTTGTTAAGTATCTCTTAATTATATTCTGAAAGTTATGATTGTTTAAAGATTGTCTGATTCAACAGAAGAATCATTCTTTTCTTATATAAAGACTCACTGATACAGAGTAACAAAATGCTGGTTCATTTTCCCTAATTATTCTTCCTCCCTTTTCTCCATTACAGAATCGTATTCTAAGAAAGAGGGCCCTCCGGTATCCACCATGGTGTTGGGTCCTGAACAAAAGATGTCAAATGGTAACTTACACCTTTCTATTATTATTTGATTTTTATTTGGAATTAGGCAGAAATTTATATTTTCCTTCTTGTTTGTTTCAACGACTACATTCAGAAGTCATATGTGATAATCTAAGCTGAAAATGAAAATTGATTTGTAACTACAAAGCCATACCTCATAAGTATCTTCTTTCTAATTTAGATTTTAGCTTCAGGTTTGGTTTCTGTAGTCGTAATATTAGCAAGGACAGTACTTGTCTCAGCCTTGGCATAGTAACCTCCAGAGTGTACTTTGTGCTGATGTTTCAGATATGTATGAACAGTAAAATGAAGGCAAGTACTGTATACTCGGTATTTTATTGCAACTTTTTGAGTGCTTTGACTAATCTTTCTTAAATCTGAGCTTCTCTCCTTGAGAATTTGCATTCTTTTTATATTAAATTTCCTCACCAAGTTAGATCTACTTAATTGAGGCGATGTGGATCAGCCTTCTATAAAAAGAAAACTCTTATTTTTCTATTTGGAGGTTGTAAGAATTTACTGGAAACATAGAGAATAGGGTTTTGTGGTTCAGTATAGGCATATGATGGGGCTGGGGATTTAGCTCAGCGGCATAAGCACCTGCCTTGCAAGCAGATGGTCTTGAGTTCAATCCCTGGTACCGATAAAAAAAAAAAAGAAAAAGAAAAAGCATATATATATATATATATATATATATGGGCATATGATGCCTGCAGCAAAGTGGACTTTGTATATCTCTAGTGCAGTAGCCTTTTTCTTCTGGAGTTTCACCTTCCTGTCTTTAATATTAACTGTAAAAAACAGTTCTCATGGGAAGCACTGATATCAGGCTTAGATGCTGGCACCCTGTAACCAGTTGCCTTTCCGTGTGGGATCTAGGACACAAGCTGTTCTTGCTTAGTGGTTTCCCTACACTATAAGATTTTGTCCTAAACCGTGGCAGAATTTTGCAGCTTCTGCATACTTTGAAAAGCTGGGTGGAGGTATAACGTATAATGACAGTTCTTAAAGTAAGTCCTGCAATACTATGGGGTTGGAGGTGTTCTAGTAGATTGACTTCTGTCTGTCTGTTCATCGAGATAGTACCTCATTATATAACTCAGGCTGGCCTTCAACTCACCCTTGTAGCCCTGGCTGGCCTTGAGTTTGCAGTGCTCCTCCTGCCTCGGCTTCCTGAGTCCTGGGATTAGAGATGTATGCCATCATCTTTTCTTTGAAAAGGCAGGATTTTAGGTAACCAGTGTGGCTTGGCTGGCAATGTTATATTTTGAGCTGCAAATGTCATTGTTTTTAGAGGAAAATAATATTATTCTAAAAATGGCCAAATAGTAAAAGCAGCACAGAGTAGCAAAACAATTATAAGATTGGTGTTAATCTGATCTAATACTGAGTAACTGGGAGATATCAAGGGTCTGGATTTGATCCCAAGGCTGCAAAAAAAAAAAGTTTTAATTTCAGTATTATGTAGGGTGAGCTTTGAGAGTTTTAAAAGATTTTTATTAATTTTTCTTTAAACATATTAATTCAGAAAATTCTTCTGGAGATCATGGAGACTCTGCCAGTCTTGATGCCATCAGCTCTACCTGCAGTAACTCCTCCTTTCCACAGTCCACCGGGCAAGCAGAGGAGCCTTTTGCCACCTACTTTGATGAGAAGATTGCCATTCCTGAGGAGGAGGTTCGTGCTGGGTCTCAGAGGGGAACTATGGTCTGGTGAAAGCCTGTAAAAGGAAGATCTGTTAAACAACTCAAGGGCCAGAGCTCCAGGTCTAATTTTGGCAGTCAATCTCTAAAAATAGGATTTTATAATATGAATAAACTATTTAGAAAGATAAAGAACATTTAATATTGCTTAGTGATACTAGGAGCATTTTCTGATCAGGCAACTATGGATTTCATGTTTTATTTTTTAAGCTATGATTCTTCTTCTGTTTGGGGAGTGGTTGAACACAGAGGTACTGATTAGGTTACTCTGGTTATATGTAAGATGCTGATTGAAATGTCAGGGACAGGAAGGTCTCCTAAATGGACGAGAACTAGGTTGCTAGTGAAAAGTGGCATGGAAGAGAAACCTGGACACATGCAAAACTCAACCCTGATCTTTGTTCTTTTGAAGCTGATATTGCTATTCCATATTGATAAAAGAACAAATAAATTAGATGATACTCAGTTTGATCTCCTTTCCTCTCTTGTGTAGTACTCTTGTTTCAGCTTTCGTAAACTCTGGGCATTCACGGGACCAGGCTTTCTCATGAGCATCGCTTATCTGGATCCAGGAAACATAGAGTCCGATTTGCAGTCTGGAGCAGTGGCTGGATTTAAGGTGAAAGTCTAGTCTACCCATGCGCTTTTAAGCACATGCAGTTTACCCTCGTGTTCTTTTTTCTACCCTGCTAATGGATAGCAGCTGCAGTGAGTATAAGTATTTACAGTTAGCCCTTGAACAACATGGGTTGAACTTCACAGGCCCATGTGTGTGTGAGTTCTTTCACTGGGGATTTTTGACAACTTGAAAATGCAAGAAATGAACCATATAATAGAAATATTTTAAAAATTAAGAAAAAGTTAGGTATGCCATGATTATATAAAATACAGGTTTCAGTTACTTTTCTTGTTGCTAATACAATATATCCAAAACTCAAAGGAAAAATAGTTTATTGTAGCTCATGGTTTGTAGCAGTTTCAGTTGATAGTTGAGTGGCTCCAAGGTAGGGTGGCCTGCAGCAGGGCATTGCAGAGGAGAAACAGGTCATGGCAGGTAGAAGGCAGCAAGCAGCAAAGCAGCAAGTGACAACAGCGGCCCTCTTTCTGTCCCTTACTAGTCTATCCAGGTTATGTGCCCTTAATCTAACATTGTACCATGAGTCCATCCCAGCATCACACACTTAGATCAGGCCACCTCTGAAAAGCCCCACCTATGACCTATTGAGGTTTGGCGGGTGGGGGAGTCTACATGTAAACCATAGCAGTACATGTCTGTAATCTGTTTTATCACTTACTAGCCTAAAATATAACACATTGATTCTAAAAAGTTAAAATTGATCAGAACTTACACAAATAGTCCATATGTGGTACCATTCACAGTTGAGAGAAATGTAAGCAAATGTAATGATGTGGTTTACTATAATACAGGCAAGAGCAGTGGTGTGTATCTGCAATTCCTGCATTAGGGAAGGATTAGGGAGGCTGAGGCAGGAAGGAGAATCACAAGCTTGAGGCCCAGCTAGACATCTTAGTGAGACCCTGTTTCAAAATTAAAAATGTGACAAGATGTAGCTCAGTTGTAGAACACCCCTGGATTTTGTTCCCAGACTATAAAACACAGACAGACACACACACACACACACACACACACACACACAGAGTAAAATTGTATAGTATATGTCTGTAATAATTTTTTTATTTAAAGAAAAAAAGCAAAACACAAAAAAGGATAGAAATAATACAAAATTTCAAAAAAATTAACATTAAGAAATCACTAGTTGATAAATTGTATTGTCATCTTAGAAATAGTTGTTCAAGGTACAAAATCAAAACATAAAAAGTAGACAATCAAACAATGACAGTGCAAACCATTCTGTTCAATGATCCAACAAAAACTGAGTAATATGGTCATCTATCTTACACACCTATACATACATACAGTTATATCCTTTAGAGCACTTTCCTTCCCTTTCCTTTTTGCAATGTCTATTATACATTTTGGATCTTATTACTCCTTCAATTTTTATTACTTTTTACACCAGAGAGACAATGTGATATTTACCAATATGAGTCTTATTTATTTCACTTATGAGGATAGTCTCAAGTTGCCTCCATTTACCTATAAAAGCCTCAAGATCATCCTTTTTATAGCTGTGTGATATTCCATTGTCTAAAAATACCACATCTTATAATAATTTTTTAGTCACCTTCTGTTGCTGTTGAACTATTGTTATCTACTGTGGGATGCCTAGCATCTCCATGTGAGTAGTTCATTTCTTGGATAGATTGTGTACTGCGAGAAAAAGTCATTTCTTGACGTTCTTATATGTATTCAGCACATATAGCACTATACAAAGTGATATTGGTAAAGCTTCTGGTCAGTAGGAGGTTATTAGTAGTTAAGTTTTGAGGGAGTCAAGGTATATTCACATTTTTCAAATATACACAAGGTTAGTAACCCTCACCCCTTGTTGTTTCAGGGTCCATGGTGCCCCACTTTTTTTCTTTCAGTACTAGAGATTGCATCCCAGTCTTGTACTTGAACTCGCTAGGCAGGTTTTCTACCATTGAGCTATATCTCAAGTACCCTGTCCCTCATCCTGGGTACCAAACCGAGGGAGCACTGAGCTATTTCCTTACCCCTTTTACTTACTTAATTAAATTTATTTGTTCATTTATTTTTAATTTTGAACCTGGATATCTGAGTAGTTGGGAGTATAGTCTTGTATCACCACCATGGTTTTTAAGTATACATTTTGGGAGTGAGACTTACATGAAACAATAACTCCCTATTTGTTTTTTCATTTTGTTTTAGCCACACAATTTTCTTCAAAAAAGGGAAAACTGCAGATGAGAGAAAGTAAGACTCAGAAGGATACAGCGTACCTAGTTGGTCATGTGTAGAGCCTGTACCAAACTCAGATCATTGCATTCCTGACCTAGACTTTTCCTACAGGGTGTGCTTCCCATTTACAATACCAAATGACCAAACGAAAAACCTGGTTGTCTAATGAGTATCATGGGGGGATGTTGTTCTTCTCAGTTGCTCTGGGTCCTTCTGTTGGCCACCATCGCGGGGCTGCTGCTCCAGCGCCTTGCAGCCAGACTGGGAGTGGTCACCGGGCTGCACCTTGCTGAAGTGTGTCACCGTCAGTATCCCAAGGTGAGCCATGTGCTGTCCTCTTTGTGTCTCACCCCATGCTAGGGGAATCTGTGTGTCTGCCCATGTGCACTGATCCTCCTATATATTGAGACACTGGGGGATTGGAGGGTCAGTGGCCCCAAACTGGACAATACCAAGGGAAATCTGACTGCCCCTCTTGCTGCCAAGCCATGTTTTCCTTCTCCCCCAAATCTAACTTGAGATTTATTTTTTTCCTATGAAGTTTCCTCAGAAGAATCCTTTGATTAACATTTTCCATTCATTCTACCTTCTAGCATCTGCCAGTGTGCAGCCCATCCATGAAGGAGGGGCTGTTCTTTCTAAGGACTTCTACACATATATTCGAGTTACTCCATCAGTTTGCTTTAGACCTATCTTCTTTTTGTTTGACTTTGCCCTGTCTGTCAAAACGGCAGGATCTTTGGAGTTGCTAATTATTTTTCAGTTTACTGTGACCTTGAAGTTACACTCCCTGCAGCTTCTTTCTAGGTATTTTGTACCTTTCTACTGCCACTTAAGGAATTCAAGAATACAATTTTTTGTCTGAAAGACTTTTTTTTTTTCAGTGCTAGAGATCATCTCAAGGCCAGTTAAGTGCTCTATCACTGAGCTGTACCCTAGAAGGTTTTTCTTTCTTTCTTTCTTTCTTTCTTTTTTGTTCTTTCTTTCTCTCCTTTTTCTTTTTCTCAGTACTAATGATCAAGCTCAGGAGCACTCTAACACTGAACTATGTTCCTAACTGCCTTCCTTTTTATAATTTTTGAGATACAATCTCACTACATTGCCCAGACAGGACTTGAATTTGTGCTCTTCCTCCCTTCCCCTTCCTCAGTGCGGGATTTACAGGTGTGTACCATCATGCCTGATCTTGGAAGGGATTTTTTAACAGAACTTCATTTTTAGATAAGATTTTGTTCTACCTGTGTAGATGTTACATATCTAAATATTTAATCTCCTTTCCTGGCTATGAGCATAAAGTATTCTTACCTGGTTTTTGCAAACACTTGCTAATGTATAATTTCTTCTACTTTCTCTTTCTTCATGCATGTTAAAGATTATTTTAGAGGTGGTTTTTCTGACTTCAGTGTGCTACCATTTAAATTTGTCTTTCGGCTAGGCTGTTGTCTAGATGAGTTACCTACTTTGGTATATTCCACCCAATTTCAACTACTTTACCCTGAGTCCTTTTTGCATATCTGTCTTTTTTCATTTACATATATATTATTATTATATTAAAGATAACCCTCCCCCCCCAAGCCTTTCCCTGCTTGTTTTATCACTTCAACTGATCAGGATAAATGTTTTCTTTTTCTGTTCTCTCTTGACACCATTGGCATTTTCCCCAAAATATGCAGGGTTGTTTTTAGAAAACAAATTAAGAGAAATCAGTAAATGGAAATTCTACTCGCTCTCTCCTCAGTGGGAAAGAAGGGAAAAAACCCAGTAAGATCAGTTGCCACACTCACTTGTGTTGATAGATTCCACTGTGTAGAAGGACATGTTCCTCCTCTGCTTGGGCTGGAGTGCTGGGGGGGGGCCAAGTTCTGAGCCAGGTGTTGAGGCCGAGGAAGGACTGTATGGGTCTGTAGCAAAATGTGAATTCCAAATGACCCAGGAATTTCCTGAAAATAAACAGTCAAAGCCACATCTTTTTACTTTTTTCTGTTTAGGTCCCACGAATCATCCTGTGGCTGATGGTGGAGTTGGCTATCATTGGCTCAGACATGCAGGAAGTCATTGGCTCAGCCATCGCCATCAATCTCCTATCAGTAGGAAGGTGAGGGAGTTGTCTGTTTTGCTCAGTTTCAAAGAAAGATGAAAACAAAGACCCAACACGTTAAAGTTCAACTGAAGTATTATTTCTTTGTCAGAGCATTTCAGGAACTACCTCCCTTTCTATTAGCCCATGTGTCTTTATGTTGTCTGTATCTATACTTAGTTGTACAGATGACTGTGATGGAGTGTATAGCAATTTATATTATATTTATTTATATGTCAGTTTATCCCACTAGATAATAAGATCCGTATTTTTCAGCTTTGTGTGCTAAATGTCTGACATACCACACTCTCAAAAGTTTGAGTGAGTGTATTTAATCTGCATTTCCATCTCTAACCTAGGGTCCCTTTATGGGGTGGAGTTCTCATCACTGTTGCAGATACATTTGTATTTCTCTTCTTGGACAAATACGGTAAGGAGGGTGGGAATGGGGCAAGGGCAGTCAATGCAGCCACTTTGCTTTCCTTCACGTGGCTGCTGAAGAACTCTGCATTCTACAAGCTCACCGATGCATTTCCTCTTTAGGCTTGCGGAAGCTAGAAGCATTTTTTGGCTTTCTCATCACTGTGATGGCCATCACATTTGGATATGAGGCAAGTGTTACTGGCTGTTTAGTGACTTTTAAAAACAAGATTATTTATTTGGTTTGGTTTGGTTTTTAGCCTTTCATTGTGAAAGACAGCAGTAGTCACTCTTGGAGGCTGAGGCAGGAGGCTTATAAGTTTGAATCCAGCTGGGGTGAGTTAGCAAGACTACATCAGGATAAAAAATTTAAAAAATGGACTGGGATTATAGCTTAGTGGGAAAGGCCCTGGGTTCAATCCCCAATACCTGGGGAAGGAAAAAAAAAAGATGGCAATAGTATAGAATGGTTTAATTTTATTACATAGATCAAAGAAAGACAATTCAGCTTTTGGCTGATTTTGAAGGGATATAATCTACAGCAACAATTAGTGTATTTGAAAGCCTGCAAAGATTCCTAAGATAAAGCTGACTGGGCACTGATGCTTTCCAGTCTGTATGCCCTGATTCCAGATTGGCTATTGAAACAACAATAACAGAACCACTTGGACAAGGCCAGGTAGTTTGCAGAGTTATTTTTTGCTATAACCTTAGGGTGACTCTGTGTTTGCAGTTATTCTTGGCTGCTAACTTAAAATGTTTCTGGTTTGTTCATCCTGGTTTATATTAATTATAGCCTGAATTTTACCTGTATTAAAACAACGTATAAATTATAAATGATAAATAGACATCTCCTGATTTGTTTCCCAATCTAAACCCTCCTAAGAATTACTACCACTCTGTAGTAATAACACTTTCCTATGCCCAGTAATAAACTGATGTCTATTTATTGACCTGGCTAAACTTTAAAGACTGTCTAATTTATGACTAGATTATGCAGACTGGCCTAAGACTTTGAAGAGAATGCTGAACCAGGCAAAAAATAAAAAATATTTATATATGAGTCTTTGCTACAAGTGGGAAACATAGGTAATCTTTTTTTTTTTTTAATGAACGTAGGTTAGTAGAGAAATATAAGTGAGGACAATCAAGAATTGCACTAGGAAATAATGTGAAGTTAATTATAGTAAGCCCTTTAGCAGCCTTTTCAGTTTTAGAACAATAATTACATTTTATGTACTCAATCCTAGCCTATGCAATTTAGTGATTTAAAAAGACCCTATCTGAAAATAAAAAACAAAGGGCTGGGAATGTAGCACGGTATAAATGCCTCGTGTTCAATCCCTAGTACTGCGAGAGACGGGGAGAGAGGGAGAGAGGAAAGGGAAGTAGGGAGGGGAAAAGGAAAAAGGGGAGGGAATAGAAATGGCAAGGGAAGGAGGAGAGAAAGAGATCTACCAAGTCTAGTCCTGAATTTTCTGCTTCCTGGTAGCAGCCCTTTGGGTTGTTTAGTGGTATTTGTTTTTGTCAGAGCTTGAAACCCTGGGCATTGTACACACCAGGAAAGTGCCATGCCACTGACCTATATCCTAACATTGTTATTATTTTTAGGAGGCAGGCTCTCACTATGTTGCAAAGCTAGCCTCAAACTCCTGCCTAAGCTTCCTAATATCTGGGACTACAGGTGTGTACTACTGCAGCTGGTTGTTACTTGCAGGTGGTTTTTGTGGGAGAAAAGCTATGAAGGAGTAGAAGAGTCATATGGTTCCTTGTGATGTGTTCTTCCCCCAGCTCATGTGTTCTTTCCTTATCTCATGTTCCATAAAGGCTAATAGTTGGTATGTCGGTCTATAGTATATTACAGTGCAACCCAACCAGAGCCAGGTTCTCAGGGGCTTGTTCGTGCCATCTTGCCCTGGCTGTCACACCCCACAGATTGAGCAGGCTGTAGGCATCGTGGGAGCTGTCATCATGCCACACAACATGTACTTACATTCTGCCTTAGTCAAGGTGAGTAAGGCCTTTAGCTCTGCCACAAGCTGGATAGCTCGTGGGGTCTTCTTTCCCTTTGTTGCCAGGGATACTGGCATAGCTTTATGAAACTATGAGTCCTGAAGGAGCAAGATTATTAATCCTGGATATTTATAAGTTCCACATACTTGATCTATATTTTTAATTAATTTGATCAGGGATTACTGACCCCCCAGGTAAGCTGGGGCTAACATTCTTTACAAAAGTCTGAAAACACACTAAAAGACTCTTGTTCTTAAATCTGAAAAGCCTGAGTGACCTTCTGAAGGTCAAGAGTGTAGGAGCCCAGTCAAGCTTTATCAGAGAATCCTATACTGTGTGATTTCAGAGGCCTTTATAAGTAGGGTTATGCACCCTTAGGATTGAAATCAGCTTGTTTTTGTAGGTCAGTGCTTGTTCCAGCCACAGTACTGTGAGCTCAGTAGTCACTCAGTCATTGGCCCTTCTTTGAGAATGTGTAATGTTACCAAAGAATATGGACTTAATTGCTTAATTAATGAACTAGGATTTAGATGAGTGTCGGATCTCTTACATTTTGTCTAGTCAGTTGTTTGATCCCTTAATCCCTTAGCTGACTCCAAAATCCTGAATTATCCAAGGAAACTTAATAAAAAACTGGCTGTCTCTTTTTATCTCTAGTCTAGACAGGTAAACCGGGCCAATAAGCAAGAAGTTCGAGAAGCCAACAAGTACTTTTTTATTGAATCCTGCATTGCCCTTTTTGTATCCTTCATCATCAACGTCTTTGTCGTCTCAGTCTTTGCTGAAGCATTTTTTGAGAAAACCAACCAGCAGGTGGTGAGTAATCCAGGGTCATGGGTGGTTGTGGATGTTAGGGTAAAATGAAGGCGGCAGTGGTACAGGAGACACAAAATGACTTGGAGCCCAAGAGAAATGGGCCTGTAGTGCCTCACATCACTTTGCACCTGTGAAAATATATAGTCTGGGTGCTGACGAGGCCTAGTCTCACCTGACCCAGCTTTTGGCAAGAAAGGGAACTGGCCTCCAACCCAAAGTTACCACGCACTATTATGTAGGTGGCTTCACATCTGTTTCTCTCTGAGTCATCTTTTGTTTCTTGTATATAAGCTTCTGTCTGCCTGCTTGCCAGTCTTGCTGTTTGGGCTAATGACAGATTGGGAGGAACCAGTAAACAATATAGAGATTATGATGAAGTCAGACTTTATTTGGTCAGATCTAACTCTTTTTCCTCAATTTCTGGTTGACTGGGTAGTTCTGATCATGCTTTGTTTCTCATCGGGAGGACATCTCACTCCCAGCTCTACTTTGACTCAGGGCTTTCCATTCTGAGCTCTCATGTTTCAGGAGGGTTTCCACAGCCATCTTCATGCAAAATGTGTCCAATACTGTGTAACACCATGTGCATTCTGACTCAGTAATGACTTTTTGATGGCTTAGGAGTACAGAAAGACTTTGGAGGATGACCACACATAACACATTGATGCCAGTCTGTGCCCATGTCACAGCCTGCATCCAGGGTTCTCTCCAACCTGCCCTTTACAAAGGACTTGTTTGTGAGCTGTAGGGAGTTCTTTTCATCTGGTCCTTTTGCCTAAAACAAAAGCTGCTCTAAAACTTCTCTGGGTTCTAGGTGGATGTCTGTACAAATAGCAGCAGTCCCTATGCTGGCCTCTTTCCTGCAGATAACTCAACCCTGGCTGTGGACATCTACAAAGGGGTAAGCATGTTTAAGCTTGGCATCATTGCTCCCAAGCCAGTCTTCGCAATATATTATCGGATTGTCTTTGTGAATTCACTTCCAACTTGACTGTCTTCTCTGGAGTATGAATTATTTCAGAACTTGAGAAGCTAGCCAATCGTTTTCTATTGCATCAGAGGGACTAAAGGATCAATGGAAAGATAGATTGTAAACCAGAATTTGGAAACTCCTCGTGACAGCATAAGTACAGGGTATTAATTGTGATGACTGAAGAAAATATTCTTAGTATTCCTTAGCAAGGTCCCTTGATCTTCTTATGCTGGTCAAATTGTGACTCAACAAGAGTAGAATATATACATATACTGTATATAGCCTTTCCCAGATTTGTCTGTCTGACCTTTTGCTACCCTACTGTCATTTCCTGTAACAGTATTTTAAGGAGTAAACTTTGGGACTGTGAAATAGACTTTCTGTGTTTTCATTATGAAGATAGCGGTTGGAGATAAGTATTTTAGAGCTTGGAGAAGAAAATACTGGGCTGAGTAATGAGAGTACATCCAGCAATACTGAGATTGAAAGCTGCTAGATTCAGCTTAAGACCTCAGCCTGGTGTGTGGGACAATGCCCCGCACTCCTGATGTACATGGTATATATCAAAGAAGTAGATGTGCCTCAAAGAAATTCTATTTTAAGCATCACCTAAGCCCATCACTGACACAAGCCTATCTTTCTTCCTTCCCTTCCAGGGTGTTGTGCTGGGTTGTTACTTTGGGCCTGCCACACTCTACATCTGGGCAGTGGGGATCCTGGCTGCAGGACAGAGCTCCACTATGACAGGAACCTATTCTGGCCAGTTTGTCATGGAGGTAGGTGCACTGTCCAGTAGAGGGAGAGAACATGGCTCTTTGTTGTTTCTCAATCTCGTGCTTCCGAGGTCTCTGCCTGAACCTCTCCAGCCTGTCTTACCTGTTACAGAGATTCGTCCCGATTCTGTTTCCTTCCAGGGATTCCTGAACCTAAGATGGTCCCGATTTGCCCGAGTGATTCTGACTCGCTCTATTGCCATCATTCCCACCCTGCTTGTTGCTATCTTCCAAGATGTAGAGCATCTAACAGGGATGAATGACTTCTTAAATGTTCTCCAGAGCTTGCAGGTGAGTAGGGAGCAAGAGAAAGTCATATGCCACTGAGGCAGGCAGCTTAAGTCCTGCCCTTTGGTACCAAGCCTGGTTGGTGCTGGAGCTAAATAGAAATTGGGAGGAGGAAAAAGGCACAAGTGGTCTTGGTCTGCAGTGAATATACATGAAATCCCTAGCACCTGAAAGCCAGGGAGTGATTTGGGGTTTTAAGCCACTGAAAGATAAGTTTGAGCTATACTTGTATATTGAACACAAAATTATAATTCATATATCCAGCAAGCATTAAATGAACTACAGAATGCTCTGCTGCATCTTAGGGAAATTTAAAAAGGCAAGTCACATCTAATATTTATAAGGACAAAAAGACTTTATGGTCATCCCTAATGCTAATGACAGCTCCATGGATTTCTTCATAATATTTGAGCATGTCAAGGGGATAAGAACAATTAGGTCTCACAGAATTGGTGAGACAGGGTTTATGCTTTAGTTCTGCATCACACTGATCACAGGTGTGATATGCAGAGGCCTCTGGTGGCCCCATCTGATCATACTTCTTTCTTTCCAGCTTCCCTTTGCCCTCATACCCATCCTCACATTCACAAGCTTGCGGCCAGTGATGAATGAGTTTTCCAATGGAATGTGAGTATATTCATCGTGGTTCTCCAGAGGAGAGCTGAGACGGGAAAGGGATATTTTTGTCCAACAGAACAGTCAGAAGTGAATCATAGGGGAACTGTACACTTTTTGAGGTGATTGCTAATTGCTGCTTCTTTGGCCTAAAATGTGGGAGGTTATGAATGTGATAAAGAAGAAAGAAGCACATTTTTATTTTGATTTTTAGACCTTTAACTTTCCTGCTTTAACCATTGAAATTTTATGTTAAATTATTTTAATGAGAAAGACATACGCTAACACATTTTACATACACCTTGAAGGTATATGCGGTGTTTGAAATTACTTATATTTCAACTGATACTAATAAAATGACTCATTGTATATCTAGCTCATGTTGCTTTTATAGTATCTTAAATATTACAGATTATTTGATGCATCTTTTCTTTCTTCCTACCATTGTCTGACTTTCCCAATTCAACTTCACCTGACATACAGTTAGAACCACTTTCAGTTCCTTTTGCAACTGTCCATGAGATGCAGTTTCCTTATGTATGTGTGTGCGCACACATGCACATAAGTATGTACGTGTGTGTGTGTGTGTGTGTGTGTGTGTGTGTGTGTGTGTGGTTAGGTTAAACTGTTTAAACTGTTCTACCAGTGACTGTGCTGATTCTTTTACAGAGGCTGGAGGATTGCAGGTGGGCTCTTGGTCCTTATCGTCTGTTCCATCAACATGTACTTTGTAGTAGTTTATGTCCAGGAACTAGGACATCTAGTCTTATATGTGGTAGCTGCCGTGATCAGTGTGGCTTACCTGAGCTTTGTGTTCTACTTGGTAAGTCCAGTAAGGGGAATGGGTACACATATCTGGGATGGCAGAGAGGGAGCCTACTGGCCTTCAGAAATGAATGCACCCAAAAGCAAACATAATCTATCTTTTGGTTATTGAGACAGGTTAAATCAGCTATTTATACATCTAACCAAGAAAGTTAATTGTGTTTTCTACGATCTAGCAATGTTCTGCTTCTGTAATTTTCTATGGTTTCCATTCTTGGTTCCTAAGAAAAGTATGGTATGTTTGAAGAACTGAAGGAAATTAGCAATATGGAGAGTGGTGCAGTTAGAAAAGGGAACTATGGATTCTGATTTAGAGCTTTGCAAAAAAATACAGGCAGGCTCACAGCATCCTTCTGCTTTACCATGTACTGTCTCAGGAAATGAGTAAATAGTGATACGTACTCATTGGATTATTTTAGGATCATCCTAAAAACCCAGATTATAAAAGCATATTTACATAGAAATGAAATGCAAATTATTTGTGCCCAGATTTGTACCTAAGTAAATCTTTAAGTCTAGGGTAAATTATGTAAAAATGATAAGTACTTGTTTTTGGAAAGTTATATATCTAGCTCATGTTGCTTTTCTAGTACCTTAAATTTTAGATATGTTTTCTAAATGTTCGTTCTTTTTAGGAGGGGGGTACCAGGAACCAAACTCATAGCCTTGCACTTGTCAGGCAGGCACTGTGCCACTGAGCTATATCCTCAGCCCCTAGATAGTCTTTAACATTGCTAATATTCATGACAAATACTGCAACAACTCCACCTCCCAATTCTTTTTTTTTTTTTTTTTTTTTTTATAATACCTGGAATTGAACTCAGGACTTTGCACTTGCTCGGCAAGTGCTTATGAGCTATATCCTCAGCCCCCAAATTAATATTGTCGTGCCACATTTCTTTTGATTTCTCTTTAGGGTGTTAAATTTTTCTCTTAGTTTTTTTGTTTGTTTATTTTGTTTTGTATCAGGAATCAAACTTAGGAACTCATGCTTACTAGGCAAATGCTGTGCTGCTGAGCTGTGTCCCTGGTCCCCAATTCTATATAGGGTTCTCTGGAAAATATAAAGTTGGGTTTAAGGAACTACAAAATTTATGCCATTTTGGCTGAGAGAATGGTTAAAGGCAGAAGCCGGAAATCTGCTGTTGATCTCTAGGACACTCACCTAATCCCTATGTCAGTGACTGCCACAGGTTAGAAATGAAATTGAGAAAACCCCATTAGTAAATACTGAAAATATGTTTGGGATTGGAATTTCCATTTCCGTCCCAGTAAACCTCAGGTATACAAAAATTATGTTAACTCCAGGGCCTGGAAAAATCAAGTAACTGAATATGTTGTTGATAGGAATTGTTTTAGAAGTTAGTTTAGGACTCAATATGTAGCATAGGCCCTGGTTAAATTCCTAGCACAATAAATTAAATGAATGAATGTAATATAGATAGATAGATAGATAGATAGATAGATAGATAGATAGATAGATAGATCTATATATATATAATGTTTAAAAAAATAAAATCAGCTTAGAGATCTTGGAAATTCTTTCTTCTTACGAATTGCTCATAAAGGTGCCAAATAGTCCTTAGTGATTCCAGATGAATTAGACTCAGTGTCCCTAATTAATAGGTGAGGGCTTATTCTATAGTAGGTTATTGCTTTTAAGCTGTAAAAGAGATTTCACAGAACAACTTTAGAGATTCCATCAGTCACTTTGGTCTGACAGTCATTTTCCCCATTCCTCATAATAGGGAGTAGGGGGAAGGAAAGTGGTCATCAGTTGGACAAAAGAAGTCATAAACCCAAAGCAGTAGGAAGAGAGAGAACCGAGTATTGAAACCAGCACAGGAACACTTTATTGAAGGCAGCAGGATGTTTTGAAGGGATGGGAGGTCAGGAGCATGTCTTGGGCAGCCCTTGGTAATGGGAGGCTGGTAAAGCTGGGTGTGTAAGGAAGGTTGGCATCTGAGCGGTGCTGTGTAAGTAGTCCCTGTGGGCTGAGAGGCCCTCATGGAGGCTGGTAACTGATGACCGTGTTTTATCTTCCAGGGTTGGCAGTGTTTGATTGCACTGGGCTTGTCCTTCCTGGACTGTGGGCACACGGTAAGCATCTCTAAAGTCCTGCTGACGGAAGAAGCCACTGGTGGCTCTCCGAAGTGAACACTGGTCCATTCTGTCTATGGGCCGCAGGTAGCCATCAGAGCCAGTGTGTTTCTATGGTTTACTGTGTGAACATAGTACAAGTATGTGCCGTTGCACAGACTGCATTTAGGACTCTTCACTACTGGTTTGGAAGGTCTCTGTTTCATATCTGTCTGAATGATGGAAATAATTTTGTTTTTTTCCTTGACCTCCTAACCTGAGAAAGACTTGAAAAGCTGATATTTGCTGCTGTCATTCCAACACTAAACGCTTAAATAGCTGCCAAAGAAAGAATTCCATATGCATAATTCTTAACCAGACATATGATTTTTTAAACTGGAAAATGCAATACATTTTTCATAATATAAATTATAGATAATAGATATAAGTATGCAAGTTTAATTATCAGGAGAATCAGTTTTAAAAAGCTGAAAAACAATTTTATTTGTTTGAATTTATTTGAATTATTTTTAAAAACCTCAATTACAGTGATTTCATCCATATAAAATTAAGAGACATCTACATCTACCTCAGTCAGGCTCGGGATTCTTTTATCTTATTTCCAATTTAAATTTCTCAATGGAAATTAAGAGAAGTGAGAAAGCATAATAAAGTTATAAAAATAGATAAATGGCAAAACTCACCTGTAAAGAGTGGTAACCAATCACCTTCAAAAGACTCCTTCTGAAGCTTGCCAGGATTTTCTTGGGAGTACTGAGGTTCATAACCTGTTAGTACAGGGATTTTGTGGTGATGTGTATTCCTGAGCATTTACAGCTGTAGGAGGCTCACCTCCAAGAGGGAAGGTAGTGACAGTAAAAGATGATAGTATTTATGAAATGATGTCCTCACTAGACTTTGGGATGGGGAATGAAGGAAAAAGGAATGAAGAGGTATCTGTTTTATTCCTGAAAACCACCTTACAAAATCATGTTTTTGTGTCACACTATTCTGCTTCGTGCCTGAAGTGACTTGCTAGGTAATCTTACACACTGTGAATGGAGCATTACAAAGAGAACAAACTCTCAGCAAGTCAGTAGGTGTCACTGAGATTGCATAGTTCTCTGTCAGCAAGGTAGACTAGGCCACCTCTGCACAGCTGTCCTCTCAGAGGGATAAACCATAGAACCAGATGGTGGAGCTCTGGAGTCAAGGAAATGGGCGTCTTGAGCATGGAACTGCTGCTCTTCAGCCACTTCTGACGGTTTTGTATGTGGCGCATGAGTTTGCGTGATTCTGTCAACCTAACTCCTATTCGTATGGTGCAGATAAATAATGAACCTTGTGTAGCCATTGTCTTGGTGAGAACAGTCATGGGAATGGCACCAAAGGATGTCCCATTTCTGGAGCTGTGCTTCTTCTGTCCTGGTTCACTAATTTGCATCTTTCATCTGAGTCCCAGAGGGATTATTCTTTATATTTTGCACACATTGAAAAGTAAAGACTGGCTAGCTTGTATTTTATAAAGCATTAATGATAAACTGTAGTTTACCACTGACCGTACATTTTCTTAGCTCCTCAGTAACATGTAGAATCACAAGTGACAATTCTCTTAACTGTCCCTTCTACCTATGCTTCTCCTGCTTTACCCATTGTTCACCAAACTGGTCATAAACATACTCTGAAGGTATTAAGGACTGACATCTTAAGATTTTATTTACCTGTGGCATATAAAGGCCAAAAATTTGCCTTCACCAAATTCTTTGTAAAGATGGTTTGGTAATCTTACCTTTAACCTGGGTTTGGGTAAAGATGGAAAGTTTCTTCCTGGGTAAAAGGCATTTTACAATACAATGAGTATACTTCTTTGTAATGTGAATAACACTTCCATATTCTGTATGGGCCTTACAGAGAGGATGTGTACTTGAAGCAGTATTCTGAGTACAAAAAACAATGTGTAGAAATTAAGTCTTCCAATGCCAGCTTGTACAGTGCATTTGGGCATATGTTTGTGTGTCCTGTTTAAGAATATGCAATTGTATTTTTGTAAATTGGCCCTTGTTCTCCTAAATGTGATATGTAATTTTTTATTAGTATGTGTATACAGTACATGATGATTATATTCAACAGGGGAGTTGGTACGTATACATAACACATCTCTAAATATAACATGTGATAATTGTACTGCTGCTGTATATTGAAAATTGAAGGTGGAATAGGGAAGAGCTTCAGTTTGGCTACTGTGAGGTCCTGCTGTAGGGGTGTCAGGAGTGGTTACAGTTGCTTTTAGTGACTGTTTTGAGATGTACATTTAATATGTAATTAAAATTTTTTTCTTTTTCCAATTTGGTTTTGTGGTTTATTTTTTAAAGCTTGAAAATACTTTATTAATAGGGTCTCAACAACTGAAATACTAAAATTATGGTTACCATCTGGAATCACACACTAAGCCCTTACAGTTAATGGCTGTCTTTTAAGGGACAGAATTAAATGTGTTTAGTCCTTAAAAAGCTTAGGGTACATTGAGACACCAAAACACTACTTTCTGTTACCAAGTTTATAGTTTTGCCATAGCTAAAAGTCATATCATTACTACATTTAAACTTGATATTTTATCCTGCCTTTCTGTCCTGTAAGGTGGGTATTCGTCTCCCTGTAATATCATTTCACTATTCAAGCAGACTTTTACATTGTATATTTGTTCCCAATAAATATAAGTATTTAAAGAGAGAAACAAAAATCTCTTAGATTAAAAACAAATGGGGATATTGGCACACTTTATTAAAAACAAAGACAAATATCAAGCACAATAAACTATCAACCCTGTCACCACACACAACAGGAAAATCCAAGTCACCAGTCAGTATGTCTCACAAGGGTTACTAGAACTTCCTTTTGTTCTGTGTCACAAGATTTTCCTGCCCATCTTAGGGAGCTGAAGATTACAAGTAACCCCGTAGTTCTCTACATTGGCTTCATTTGCCCCTCTGTTCTCATTTTTGGTTTAATTTCACAACTAAAATAGAATGCAAAACAATTTGAAGATCCTCACAGGACGCACTTAACTGCCTTTGGGAGGCCCTGTGCTCCTTGATTGGTAGCAGCAGTGACCCTCAGGATGTCAGCCTCTCCTGACACCTCAGCTGTGAGTGTGAGAATGGCTAACTCCTCACTCTGTGCAAGTCATGGTGGGAACACCTGTGTCATCTCCTTTAATCCTCATCACGAGAGGACCTGCTTCTGTACGGATGAGGTGCGGCCCAGAGGCCAGAAGTAACCTGCCCACCTCACATTGATGGAAATGGGCGTTGGCGTTTGACCCTGGTGTTGGCTCCCGAGCCATCCTGTAATGTGTAACACACCCTGTGCTGGATAAGACACCAGGTGTAGTGACACCAGCAAGACCAACACATCGGAGCATTTGCTTGGCACTTTCCATTAGTGTTAGAATGTGTTTTAGCTCAGAAGTTGCCAAGTATAGACACTGTTTGGCCTGTGCTACATTTTGAAAGTTTGGATGCTTTTGGCAGGCTTAAAAGATGGGGAGAACCCCTACGAGTCCACTCTGGCACCAGCTAAAAAAATAGAGTTTAGGGGCTGGGGATTTAGCTCAGTGGCATAAGCACCTGCCTTGCAAGCAGGCAATCAGGAGTTCAATCCCCGGGACTGGAAAAAAGAAAAGAAAAAAAAAAAAAATAGACTTTACCCATTTCCATAACCACACCATCCCTAAAGTGTTTTAACCTATGGTGTGCCAGTTAGTCCCATTTCTTAATGTCTCAGAACCACATGACAAACTTCTCCAATGAAGGGTTCTACCTACTAAGTCATGTTAGGTGATACACTGTATGGGCATCATGGAACTAGTATTGCAAGCCCCCCTTTATCCATACTGAGGAAATGTTTATCTTTACTAACTTGCAAATACCTTCAATGAATTGCCAATGTGTCTGAAAAATGCTATTAGTCACTGAATCCTGCAATTTAAGACCCTAAATGTAGAAGCAAGTTGGTCCGAGAGGCTGCTTCCCTGCCTTAAAGTCATTGTCACTCAGTATCTTCCCTGCCCACTAGTTGGAGTGGTTTGGTCCTGACCCCTTCTTATCTGTGTTAATCTTCACACAGTCATCCACAATATTCCTGTGAGGCTATTCAGGGCACTTGGTTGTGTATTAAAATATGTATTTATTGGGCCAAGGATTTAGCTTAAGGGCACAAGCACCTGCCTGCAAGTGTGAGGTTATTAATTTGATCCCTGGTACCAAAAAAATATATATCTATATACCTATATTTAGATAGGTAGATATGAAACTAACGTGAGATAGTGTATTATTGTCCCTGGTATTTTCAAATCTAGCAAGAATCCCCATTTTACACTTAAATGTAGTAAGCTTCTAGAAGAATACATGACTTCCTAGAGTTCATAGGATGGAATAAAGTTTGGGCTTGACCCCAACTGTGCGCCTTTTCTACTACACTATAGTAAAGCTAATTCTTTTTATAGATTGATTATCTGCATTAATTTACAGGTCATTTGTATCTAGATGCCATAATGTGCCTGATCTTTCTGTAATAATGGAAGGGCTAAATAAAAATCAATGTTGTCCCAAATTGTATTCAAAGAGAGGAAAAGAATAAAAGGATAGAACCACACAGATCCCAACACCAACCATCTGGATTCAGTTTTCTAGGAGTGGGATGTGTGGATAGGTGTTATAAGCACATAAGGTGACTTTGAAATAGATGGCAATTACTTGAGACCCATAGGTCATCTCTCATTACATTCTTTTTGGTTTTTTTTTAATGAAAAGTTTTTTTTTCTGCTAATATGCCAAAGGATAATGGGACCAGGATTACAAAGATTAGGAGTTAGACTGTTTAAAGTCTGATTTACAGTACATAGTCAAAATACAAAAGCTGCTGGGGATTTAGTTCAGCGGCATAAGTGCCTGCATGGCAAGGGCAAGGTTGTGAGTTTGATCCCTGGTACAAAAAAAAAAAAAAAAAGGAAAGTACCCAATGCATGTTTACCCATGTTATTCTGACCTGAAGTCCCATCCTGAAGCAGCATACCCAGGGGTAGTTTAAGGGCTAATTTTACTGAGGGCATTTGACATGACTTCAGTTCTTAACTATCTCACCTCCTATTATTTTATTATTTTTTGTGTGTTTCAGACAGGGTTGCTATGTAGTTTGCTGGTCTTAAATTCACTGTGTACCCCAAGCTACCATCAAATTCTTGGTGCTCCTTCTGCCTCAGCTTCCCAAGTGCTGAAATAATAGGCATATGCCACCATACCTGGCAGTCAGTTCCTAGTTTAGACTTTAGAAACCAAATATTTGTAAGCCACTTCTTTTCTGAAATAAAAATAGAGCAATACTAAAAATGCCCTAAATTGATATACTAGTTATAGATACGTTGAGTGTCCATATTTACCTACCTGAAATCAGCCTAACTCTCTTCCATCTTTTTGTCCACAGTATCACCTGGGGTTGACAGCTCAGCCTGAGCTCTATCTTCTCAACACCGTGGATGCTGACTCACTCGTGTCTAGATGACTGAAGTCCGCCTGAGATACTGTCCAAGAACTGCTCTGTCTGTGCCCCTTTGTGCCATGTGTCTGTTAACATCTCTGTTAGTTCAGAGGTGAGTTTTGTTCAAACATTTTGAACAAAAGATGAAGATTTCCTCGTGGGAATTGTGTTACAAGCTGACATCTCAAAGTGTAGGGCAGAGACCCACCTACCTCACAGCAGCCATAGCGCAGCAGAGTTAAATGATTGGCCTGTGATAGCGACACACCCTATGGGCTGTATCTTCTAAGATTTAGAAACTATGGATGTAGTTAGGTACATCTGAGCATATCAGTTAGGTGGAATTTTAAGATTATCTAAAAGTAGTAGATCTTTTGTATTTTTTTAAATATATTTTTCAGGAAAGTCTGATATTTATTCTGTTTGGGTCACAACTGAGAAAAGAAAGGGAATAATGCTTTTTTTCATAGTGAACCGGTCAAACTGATTGTCTTTAAAGTGATTCTTTACTTTGTTCATCATCAACAGGATTAGATACTTAGTAACTACTGATATTAGCACATCATTTCTAAAGAAAAGATTTCATCTATCTGGTGATCATGTTTCATTCTGGCCATCAGCCTGCTGTGTAGTCACTATCTTCATTGTCACTTTTTTCAGAATTGTTTTCTGGCTGTGATGGTCTTCCTTTACCATTGTAATATATAGTAATAAGATTCAGAAACTATATTTTAATCAAGGATTAGTTTTCCATGCTGCAGTGTATTGGCCAATTCTGATGTTCAAATTGAGGGGGAAAAAAGAAGAAACTAATGATGTTTAACTGTGTTAAATCCTAATGCAAGGCAATAGAGATATTAATCTCTAGAGTCAGTATAATTCTACAGTGTCTTTCTATCTACTTTTCCCATTATCACTCCAAATATCATTTCTAGGTCCTTGGTCTATTTCTAGGAATAGCTAATATTTATATTATTGAGTCTCCTAGGAAATGCTAAGCATTTCACTTTAAGATATTTATGCCAAGTAGTGTGAGGTTAATACTAGTCCAGGACATAGATTGGCCCACGTATTGTACCTTCCTATAGAATTTTTTTAAACTCCTGTTCCTAATCATGAATTTTTTACCTTAAAATTTTGTGATAAAAATAGTTCATATCTAAAAATAAAGTTTTGGGCTGAGGATATAGTCCAGTGGCACAGCACCTGCCTGGTGAGTGGGTCCTGAGTTTGAGTCCCAGTACCAAAAGTAAATAAATAAAAATATAGTTTTAAGGGCTGGGGATTTAGCTCAGTGGCATACGCGCCTGCTTTACAAGCACCAGGTCATGAGTTCAATCTCCTGGATACCAAAAAATATACATGTATATCTATGGTTTCAAGATAAGGGTATAGTTCTTGTCTGGTATACAGAAGGCCTCTGGCCCTGTCCCCAAGACTGGGAGGGAAAGAAAGTAAGAAGTTTTAATGTAATTATCTGATTGAAAAGTGAGATTGACAACACTGAACTAACATTCCTGCATGGAACTGCATTTGGCTGGAAAGGAATGGCAGCTATCCATTTTCAGTGCTGTATACTGCAGGGTGCTGTACTCCCCATCATGTCACTCCTTTCCTGACAGGTCCCACAGTTTTTGTGTGACATTAAATACTCCACTTCTCATTCAACATTAAATACACGACCTCTCTGCCCTCTTTTAAAATTTATTACCTTTTAATAAGACCCTTCCTTTTTTCTTTGGTGGATCTTGGGATTGAACCCAGGGCCTTGGGCATGCTAACAAATGCTCTATCCCTCTACAGTGTGAGACTTTTATCTTTAAATCTAGACACTGCCTAGCTTCATTTCTAATGGTTTGACCCTCTAAATGACAGGGAATTTTCTAAAATGAAACTTTAAAATTCCTTCATTTCAATTTCAGGTGCTCTTGAGACTAGGTAAGAGTAGCAGTTCTGCACCCTAGGTTAGGGTCCTTCTGATATTAAAATAGAGGGCAAATTAGCATCATTTACAAGTGCTCACTTGAAAACTTGAAGTTTCACTGTTCTGATAGTAACTAAATAAGTTTCATATAGTAACTCTAGGTAACCAGTTTGTTAGATTTCCCACTCTCCCTTGGCAATTCCATTTTTCATTTATTATCAAAGAATGTTGGCGAAAGGTTAAAACAGTGGGGAAATCCTATTTACAACTGATAAGAGAATCAGGTGATTGGTTAAACTGAAGTACTGGAAGATTTCTGTAGCTCTTTTCTTTTTAATGTATGTTACTGGGAACAGAATTGAGTTTTAAAAAGTTTACAAGTATTCTCCAAGAACACTCAACTCCTGTAATCAGAAAATATGATGATAAACTGCATCACACTAAAACCAGTAGAGGAGATTGATATTTAAAGAATGAATTGTGGGTGAGCATTTTTACAAAATTAAGAATATTTAATCATTCTCTAATTTGTGTTATACGAATCTCAATATCTATGTGACATGTACTTATGCATTGTATTGGTTTTATTTCATCGTAATGAAATACATGAGGTGGATTATTTTACAAAGTAAAGCTGTTTATTTAGCTCACAATTCTGGAAGTGCAAAGGCAGGGTGCTGACTTTTGCTCAATCTAATAAAGGACTTTGGCTGTGTCACATTGTGAATGGGATTATGGTAGGAGCGTGTGCCAGAGGGGGAAATAACAAAAGGGGATATGGAACTAGAGGGAGCAATCCAGGCACTAGCTCCCTCTTTTTATAACAACCTGCTCTCATGAGACCTGCTTTAATCATTTCTAAGAGGTGTGTCCCCACTGACCTAACTTGCATTAGCTGCTACCCCTTCAAAGCTGCAATCACCTCTCTCAGCATTGCAACACTGGAGAGCAGGCTTCCAACACATAACCTTTGGAGGGACACACTCGAATCATCTCCAACCCATAGCATGCAGATACTATATTAAGAATTTACTAGGTAGGCTTACAAGATTAAAAGTGGAAGAATTCCAGTAGCCCCACTGGAATAGATACGGAAGAAGGCAAAATTGCCATCCGCCGGAGAAGCCAAGTGGAGCCAGTCAAGGTCAAAGACCTGGAGCTCGCAGCAGAGTCGAATGTAAGTCCTACAGGGAAAACCAAAGAATCTGCACTGGAAGTCTGCAGGAGATGCCTGAAGGCCCTGGAAACAGATGTCCCAAGGCAATCACAAAGAACAAAGCATCTTCAAAGGGGAAGGGGGAAGAAGACTTCTTTCCTTCCCTTTTAATTCCCTCCAGCCTACAAGTATACTGGTTGGTGCCACCCACATCCAGGGTCAGTCTTTCATCTTCAGTTTTCAGCCTACATTTCAGTCATTTACAGCACACTCAGAGCTTTACTAATTTGCTAGTTTGTTCTTACTCAAGTCAAATTGATGTTACAATTAAAGATCACAGTGATTTAATAGCCTAGTGTAAACCTAGTTTGTGGATTTACATGCATAGCTACTTTTAATAAATTGGGGGCTGGGGATTTAGATCAGCGGCATAAGCACCTGCCTTGCAAGCAGGCAGTCGTGAGTTCGATCCCTGGTACCAATAAAAAGGAAAAAGACAAAAAAATTTTTTTAATTAATTAATTAATTAATACATCGTATTGCTGTTTTTAAAAAGGAAATATTCTCCCTGTAAGATTACAAAATTGAGTAAACTCCTACATATTATAAGAACCAGTTCCTAATAAAGCACGTGTTAAGGCTTTTTAATGCTGAGTGTATAAGAAAGTAGTTTCTTTCCAGTAGCCTGGTTAGAAATATCTTATCTCTGTACATTTCAAGATGTGACAAGATGATTTACGTCCATGCCAGCTGTCCCAAATTTCTTGACCTTAATTAGATTTAGCTGACTGAATAGACAAGTGGAGTGAAGCAATTAGATTCTTTCTTTCCCTGTTTTCTACAGAGGATATTACTGACCAAATGAGTGTACTCATTGAAACAGCAGAAAAGAGCACCATGATGAGGACAAATAACAACTTTTTAAATAATAATCTGTGCCAGTGGAGAAAAGTGTATTTAATTAACAGCACAATGGTTAAGATTTAGAACGCAAGCCTATTTTCAGATACTCCTACATCTTCCCTTCTCTAAATACTAGACCTCATCTTCCTGTTAGCATCTCTCTCATTTTAGGAAACATCCACCGGGAGGCATCATACACTGCAGATACCATTACTACCAATTTTAAAAGTAAAGCTTTTTTTCTTCCCTGAGTTTGGAACCTTTGAGACCAGCCCTAAATCAAGACAGTTTTTACTTCAACAAAGTCTGCTTTACTTTTTAGAACTCAAAGGTAGCTACAGAGGCATTTGAGGCCAACAGTATACTCACCATTGAATGTATACTTTGGTTTCTTTCTTGTGTTTTCCACAGTATCACACCAGATTAGATGAGCACTTCTGGACTGAATCCTTTTTGCTGAGGGAAATTGTTAGCAATTTGCCTTTGTATTCCTAGCAATCCTTCTAATAAAAATGCACAAACATTTAAATATTAAACTTTTATATTGGAGTCAAAATAGTCAGTTTTTATATGAATGAAGTCCTGAGTGATGAGCCACCTATAAATGAAGTGACCATTCTCTTGATGTAACTGGTACCCATTCTAAAAAGTTTAAGAAATCTTAATTACCTTGCTCTGTTGGGGAGAATTAAGTGACACATCATAGATGGAGAAAAGTTTTCCATAAACTGCTGTTTGATAACTAATTCTCAAATTGATTTCATATAGCTTACTATGTGAAATTTTTTTATTTATTTATTTTTTTAATTTTCTGCTGCTAACTAGAAAATAAGTATTTATGTCATGGGACTCAGGATGTGACGCACTCACAGAGTGCTTACCAAGCATTGTTGAGGCTTTCAGTTCAATCTTCAGTATTCCAAAAAAGAAAAAAAAATTTAAACATTTTAAATCAGAAAAAGACAGAAGTGATATTTTTGAGTTAACCATGACTATTGTTTTTGGAAACCAACTTAAAACATATGAGACTTAAAACAAAGGCTTTGATAATTTTTTCTGATGTCTCTGGAGTAGAATTTGCTACATATTGAAAATTCATTCTCCAAAATAAATAGTTTGTGGAAGCTTCTTGCCTTTCTTGCTTCTAGCATATAGCTTCATTTTGGGGTACACTGAAGAATTGAGATCTAGTGTGATCTTTATATGCAGAATAGAGAATATGTAGAAACAAAAATGTACATTAATAGAGAATCAATTGAAACAAACATTGAGTTTCTTTCACTTGTATTTTTCTGAAATTTATCCAAAAATGCAAAGCTGAGTAAACATAAGCCTTCTCCTCCAAAGTTTTAGCTTGTGACATACAAGTGGATCCAAAAACAAATAAAAACTTTTGAGAATTCTTAAAATGAGTATCAATCTAAATTCATGTTTTTACAGTACCCTTCCCAAAGTTTGAATTTACCATACTGGGGAAATGCCCAGAAATGGTGAAAGATCCTCCCAGGAATTAGAATTAAAAATAACAGTCTTCTCACTTTAGTTAATGTCTTCTTGTGCTCAGTATCCCAAAATGAATGTATCTAATCTCTGCTTCTAGGGGTTTACAACATAGTTATAAATTAGCTATGAATTTAGGCAAATGTTTGTGGCTTTCACAAGGTCCTAGGGCCATGTTGAAAGAGGCAGACAACAGGAGAAATAGGCTAAAAAGTGAATTTCTTGATGTCAACAAATGCCCACTCCCAAAAGCAAGCTGAAGTTATCTCTAAAATTTTAACCCTAATTTACACTCCATTTCCAGGCCCAACTCCATCTCAGTTGTCAGGGTATCAGCTATCTAGTTGGCTAAACCAAATTCTTCATATTTTTTTTTCTGAGACTGCTTGTTAGTGTCTTAACAAAGAACACAGAGGATAAAGGTCACTAAGTTCTTATATCTCCAAGTGATGGCAACTTAAGGCAGAAATCTACAGAATTTTCTAATGAAATAGTATTGCAACTATAAATGACACCCAAAGTACAAACCAAAAAAAAATTTGTTTTTGCTTGAATCAGTAACCTTGTCAGATTCAGAGTAATTTGTAAAACTCATTTCCCTGTTCTTTGGGTTTGTAGACATTTATCTATTACCACTTGCCTAGTTCCTGCCTTTCTTACGATACTGAGTATAGGTTTGAATAACTACTAAGTTGAGCTACCTACCTAATATGTTTAATCTTAATCTTGTGTTCCCTGAAGTTAGGATCTCAACTCTTCTCACACTTCATTCACACGTGCTGCTCCTTGTGTGAAGCTTCTAGAGTGTCTGTAGTCATAGGAGTGTCTTTATTGTTCGTGAGCCTCTTGAATCACACCAGAACTAGCATCTGAAGTAAGGGTAGGATTTTCACAGACTACTCTTAGACCTATAAAATCTGATGCTTGCAAGTCCTGAAGGTGTTGAATTGTATTCCTGTATACAATGGTGGTGTCAAAATAACTATTTAATAAATATAATGATATAGTGATATGTAAAGCAGTTAAGACTATCTGGCACATGGTAAGTACTCATTAAATATTGGTTATTACTGTTTTCTCTGATATGTACTCATCCTCCTACCAAATCTGTCCTTTGTTCTTAGCTCTCTATATTAGTGAAAGGCAAAGCCAGCCATCCATGTAAACCAGACACCTAGGAATCATCTTGTTTTACCTCCTTCCTCGTCCTCGTCACTTGACTACAAGTCATCAGTATTTCTAGAATCCATCTCTGTTTCTTCTTGTCATTGCCTTAATTCAGATCCAGTTCACGGTCTAGTTGGTTTCTCTGGTTTTGTTTTTGCAAATTATCTCTAAGCAATTTTTTTCCTTTCAACATTTTTTTCGTGGTGAAATATATGCCTGGAGAATAGCACATAAAATTTAAATACCACATTAACCAGTAATTGTACAGTGGACACGTGAAACTATTACAGGTAACCATTGTTCTGTTTTCATCTTGTCATCCTTCAACGATTATAAATCTGTTGAAAGATTTGTATCAATTAAGAGAGTCAGAACTACACTTCTTCGAATTTGCTTCCTTGAGTAGTTCTGGGTTAAAAGGCTCGTGTGAGACACTTTGCATGAGACGTAGAAGCTGAAAGTTGGAGCAGCAGCTCTCACCTTCGAATTCCTGGTGCGCAGCAGCAGACACTGTCATGGTTTCTACACCGTCTAGCTCACTGTTGCTGGGCAGCATCCAGCCCCACAGCTCCTTCCACTCCTTCTGGATCTCTTTGGTTACAAACACTCATGGGTCAGCTATCGTTTGGCAGCATGATGTAGGGTGCCAGGTTCTCTGTGTCTTTCAGACTGACTCAAGTTCCCATCTATGATTTTGGGTTCCAACTCATTCTTGCAGACTCTAGTTTATTTTTCCTTTCCAAGTGCTGCTTGAAGACTTGAGGTCCCAGAATTAGGAACATGAGCAGCAGTTTCATATGGACTGTTGAGCCACCTCCCAACATTGCTTAAAGTCAGCCTCTGCAGTGAATTCCTTTCCTATGCAACAGTACTGCCAGTTTTGCCTCTCTGAACTTTGGCTGGCCCACACAAAATAAGGTTTAGACATGTTTCCAGAAGATAGGCTGTCTGCACTTACTCTGGATTGACTGGAGTTGTTTCTTTGATCTCTT